AGAGTTTTCTGTTTATTTTCAGTTTCTGACTGCTTAAGCAATTTATCTTTTAGGTGGTACCCACCAAATCCAGCTGATACATTCACAGAACTGTTCACACAGGCTCCACAATTCTCCTCCCAAATTTAGCACCTACAGAGGTCTATGCACAGTTATTTTTTCATCCTGTATTAACAAATTGGTTTTGAAAGACTGGTACAGTACAGGAACATATGCTTGTAATTCTGGTGCAATAATGTAACAGAAATTTTATCTGCTGTACCACACAGATAATTTCAACTAAACTCCGAAGGAAAAAAGGAACAATGAACATAACACAGATTGTCAAGCCACCTTTTCCCAGTCAACACTGTATTTCCAGAAAATTTCCATCCCAGATGCTCTGTTCCTTATGAACTAACAAAAAGACCAACTTCAACAACTTACAGCCATTAATGTACTTAACCACAAGGAAAAAAAAAATCCAAATTCCTTCAGCAAGGGTAGAGGCAAAATATGACTGAAAAATGCATAGTAATGGTTAAAAAAAAGGGAGCAGAAGTTTGGTATCTAATATATAATCACAGACAAGTCAGGTGTGCTGATTTCCCAGCACAAACTTTATTAGAGTTCAGTTAAAAATACATAATCTCTAGACATTTGAGATGTAGTTCTGACTGATAAAGTAGCAGCCAGGAAATGAAACCCCTCCCAAATGCTGCTCCTTATCTTGAAAACCTCTGAAATCATTACTGAACTAATAAAGTAATTCTGATTTTTTTTAAAAAAAACAATCTTTTTTGATAAAGGCAGTTATGAGATTATTACTTTTTGCTGGGTATGTACCATACTGATGAGCAAAACAACTTTTAAGAGCTTTTATAACAGACTCTGACAGTGAATCTGTCAGCTTTTCTGAACGGGAGGATACTTTTTAGCTGTTAAGCTAAAAGGTGGCAGACAGCATCACATATTACTTTAACTAGAATTATTAGCATTCTTTCTTTTGTTTCAATGTTTAGATATTAACAGAAGATGAAGAAGTGAAAAAATACAAGACAGCCTCCAGGAAGGTTTCCAGACCTAGCAAATAATATTTAATGACAACAGGTTGAATGAGGTTTATTCCTGGGATCTGGAAAATGTGAGGTCACATCCTTAATGCAGAGAAAGACACCAAATTCCATGCAAGAGGGAAAGTGCTCCATTACCATCTCCAGCAACTGTATCTAAATGAAAGCCTCTCTTTATAGTCACAGTGGAGGGATGCACCTCTGAGGATCACAGCTAAGTGAGGAAAGAGATGGGATTTAAAACATTCCTGTCCTGTTTCCTGTAAGCTGCACTGAGGCAGTTTCATGTTGAGGGTTGAGTGGACATCACTAGAAAGGTCCTCAGCCCTTTCATGCCCTGTAAAACGGGAGCTCAGACACCTTCAACAGCAAAATTCCAGATTTTGTAATGGAACCAGGTACACAGGGGCTGGGAAATGCTAAATTCAGGCTTTCTGTGATATAAAATTAACTACTGCTAGTTCATTAAAATAAAAATAGATTCTAAAAGTAAATATTTTGGCTAGTCAGAAACTGACCAAAATTATTTGACATTTTATTAGCACTGCTTTTCTTCACCCAAAAGAGCAAGCATGGAGCAAAGCTCTAGGGAGGAAAGAACATATTTGTAGCACAGGGTTCTGTAAGCCCAGCCCATATCGCAGCCCCTCCCTGGACATTTCCCGTGCTTCCAGCAGCACATCCAGGTGGGATTTACACAGCACACAGTGCCCTCTACTGGGGCAGGTACAGAGTGAGCATTTTGAACCTACCACTTTGAAAGAAATTAAAAATTAAAGATTATAGAAAAGAACACTCTTACACAATATCATACATCTTCTCTTGCTTTAGAACTTTTGGGCTGTACAGCTTTGCTTTCGTTCCCAGTATGAACTTCATAAAATCAATTACATCAAATTTGGGTGGAATGAGCTAAAGGATGAAACACACATAACTACCACACTTTAAAGTTAGCATTTGAGTGAGACCTATTGATTACTACTGGTCTTTCTATTTGCAGGCATTCACCAGTGACAGCCAACAAATCTCTTTACAAGCTACAGTTAACTCTCACAAACAGGTTGTCACATGTCCTGAACTTCTGCAAGAACTGACAGACAGTAACAAGAAATTATCACTTCCATGTAATGTGTACTAAAGAAAATACAGATCATATTTCACACCCAAACCCAAAACGATGACACATCCTAATGACACTGCCAAAACCTGATGCAGCCATTAAGAGTTGGACAGATTTGCAGAACAGCAGGCAAATTTCAGAAGAAAAATTGTTGAACTGACCTCTTCATCTGACTCCTCTGCAAACACTGAGAGCTTCTTTGAAACAAGATTTTTCTGTGGCAACTTTTTGGGCATAATAAGCCCATATCTAGAGGGGGAAAAAAACCAGTTACCTTTAGTATCACAACATAGCACATTCCAAACCAAAAATCTGCCACTTACCATTTGAGAAGTAAAAGGTCAGCATCAATATAATGTATCAGTTATAGGTGAGCAGCCTTTGCAGCACAGCACACCTGCCAGGTTCTCCCAGAGCTACTGTTGTCTTTTGCCATATAAAGTTTCTGGATGCAATGATTGTCCTAAATTAGGACCCAAATCCCTCTTGCCCAGAGTTCTCCAAGTATTGCTCTCTTCTCTCTCAGAAGTAAGAAATTACTGTTTAATCTGAAGGGATTTAGTCTTAATCTATGCCAGGCACTATTCCATGGCTACGTTTGCAGCGCTATAATTTCTTATTTGGCTGGCAATGTAACCACAGGTGCTATGGCAAAGGATAACATTTACAGACAGATTATGTCGTGCTGAGATTGATTAACCACACATAAACATCTCTTCTGACAAAAGCCCATTTCTGCGCTAAACCCACTTCCCTTTGGTTCTGAGCAACCTCTAAATCGGGGATTTCTTGCCCGCCTGCCTTTCCCTGAGTCTATCACCGAGCTAATAGACCGCCCCAGCCTGTATGGCTGAGCTGAATGGAACACCCCAGCATTCTGGGGGTACCACGGCACCCCTGTGACTGCTGTCTGTCTCCATGAGCCCTGAACCCGCCCTCAGCTCCGTCCCACCCGGCCGCAGGCTCCGAGCAGGAGCCCTGGCTGCCAGGGCCGCTGCTCAAAGGTGGCAAGTGTGAGGGAACATTGAGGAGATTCTCATCCTTAAGAGTGAAAAACACCCTCGGGCAACACCGCCGCACCCTCAAGCTCAAGCCCGCTGTTTGAGTTCTGCTTGTTTTTAATAAACACAGTTTTAAAGTCAGGCCAACACACCGAGGCCGCGCGGCGGACACCTGGGACAAGTGAGCCCCTGGGCAAGAGTTTTCCAGCGCTCACCCTCAGCGCCGGCCCCAAATCCCCCCCGACCGCTGCCTCGGCCCGGCGGGGCCCGCCCGCCCCGACCCTGCCGGCACTCACTGCTTGCCCAGCGCCGCCATCTTGTCCGGCCGCCTCCCCCGCGCAGCCGCTGCCGTTCCGCGGCCGCAGATTCCTCGCGGCCGAGTCCTCCCCGCGCATTTTCCCCGCCCGCCCCGGGGACCCTCAGGGCACCGCGCCGTGCTCCCGTTCCGGGAGGGAACCGGAGAGCGGGCAGAGGGGGCTGGAGGCGACGGGGGATTTTTTTTAACAGCTCCTTGTCGAGGGGCGAAAGTGCTGATCGGGAAAGGGCGCTGGCGGGCGCTCCCTGAGCGGGGAGCTGAGATCCCCGGGGGCGCCTCAGGGCAGCGGCGGGAAAGGTCCCCGAGGAGGAAGAAGCTCTGAGGGGGAGAAGCCCCCGAGACGCTCCCGGGGCCGCCGGTGGTCGCCGCTCTCGGGGCCGGGGCTGAGGAGCCACGCTGGTCCCCCCCAGCCATCACCGAGCTGTCGCTTGTTTCCCGCTAAAGAGTGAAAGAGGTGGTTAATTTCCCAAAATGTTATTTAAAAAGGTGATTCTTCCAAAAGGGATGTTACTGGAAAGATGAAATCTCACTGCAGTCAGTACAGTTGCTGTAATCTCAAGCTTTATCCCAATAAAAAAGCTTTTTGTGCTATATTAATACTGTTGGGCTTCTCTGCAAAGTGTTCATAAGAACGTTACAAAATGCTGATTAACAACTTTTATTTAAAATTATTCCTAAAAGGTCTTTTAAGGAGACTGAACCTTGAAAATTAATGCTGTATCATTTATGAGCATTGTCATTTGGGAGCCATAAAGACATCCCTGCCTCTCGTCCCATCAGAATTAATTTTAAAAACCCATAAAACTTTGATTAAGCCTTTAAAATTCAGTAGCTATACTGGCAAAATTCTTCCCTTTAATGTTTCTATTGCTTTTTCTTGATAATCCTGGTAGGAAAATTAATCCACAAACACCAGAGGTTTATGTCCAAAAAAGGAGACAGAGGAGTCCTTTTACTTTATTTGAATAAAGGGAGAGGCCATGGGGCATTCTCCTGGGGTCTCTCAAATTTTTGGAGGGCACAGCCTCCCTTTTATCCTAATTCCCGGCCATATGTCCGTTCTCTCTTTCCCCATAGGCTGAGGTACTTGAGAGGTACAGACTTCCCAGAACGCCTGATACCTGGGATACCCCCTCCCAATGCACAACCCTTCTTAATTCTTAATTCTTGTGGAATTTTATGGTGTTTCCCCAGTGTCTCTTTCATCTTTCAGTGGAATCCACCCCATTGTTTCTGTTATTTCTCAGTGATAGCTTCGTATTATCAGCATAGCTTGTTTGTAAAGACAAACCTGTCATTCCTCTCAATCCTTAACAGACTCCCTATCACCTTAACTCATAATCCCTAACAGAATTAAGCCATTTTAACAAGAAATACTAGTGCCTATGCAAAAAAAAATAGAAAATCAACAGTTAATTTAATAAAATATATGAAACACCAGAATCACAAGGGCTAGATGATAAATTGAGATATTTAATTAAAGGCACACAAGAACTGGATGCCAAAAGGGGCTAAGGATGTTTTTTTTCAGTGCGTTGGCTTTTTGTGATCTGCACAAGTGCCAGGCAGGTGTGAAGCCACTGGTACAGGTATTCAGCTGGAGCAGAGTTCTGCTGCCACTCTGCTGCTTGTGGGACACCTGGAACAAAAAAACCAGGTGTAAATACAACAGGGAAAGTCAAAACCATGAGGAGTGTTGCTGCAAGAACAGATCATCCCCTCAGAAGAGCTTACCCTGAATCCAGTCATTCCAGTAATGGTGATGCTTTGAAAAGCACACAGCTGTATCGTGACAGTGACCTGTCAAGTGCTGACTTTTTTTGACTATAATTTATCTTATTTTGTGGTGGGTGCCCTGTTGTAAGAAGTGGTCTGCTAAATTTTAATGCTAAACCATCACTTATGTATGGAACATATGGACAATTACCTGATGTTAATTTTAAAGGAATTCCCGTAACTGTGAGTTATACCTGCATTCACACCTCTCATCTGACACTGCTCTCTCACAACAGGTTCCATCCTGGGAAACCAAACTTTCCTAGCACACCTGCAGTTTCCAAAGCTACATTCTTTAATCTAATTACATCAGCATCCTTAACTGTAGGAAAACTGGATGCTCTAGGCCTGTTTTGTTCTTTCCAGTGAATTAGTTTAATATATATGAGGAGAACACATGGAAATGAACTATGACTGCCTCAAGTGTTTACTCTTTATCAGCAGGCAGGGTACTGTTGATAAATATCCCCAGCTAAAGTAATAACTCTTGTCCACATTTGGCTTTTAACAGGCCTCTCAGACTGGTATTAGATCATGAAGAGAGAGCTGTCAACAAGAACAAGTAATTTCTCTTACAGAGATATTGCAAATAATAATAACAGGCTCTTGACTACTCTGGCACCAAAAAAAGCTCACGTTCATTAAAGGAGAGAAAGACAGACTGAGAAACAGCTCTTGTCTATGGCCTGTGAGTACATTAAGCACTTGGCAGATGGTGTTTACGAAGAGGAGGGCTCACAATGTGTGCTCCTGTTTGGAGATGGGTCAGTCCCTAGGGCAGGGCACAGAGGTCTGAAGCAGCTTTTCTTGCCAAAAGAACCCTCGTTCTTCATGCTTATTGGAGGTCTGCAATGAGATCACTTGTTCTGGAAGGTTTCAAAGCTGATCTGCTCCCCTTTCCTGAAGGCAGTGAATTTTGAGTCTAAATTTAACAGGTTGATTTCTATTGACCAAAAAAGACTGCAGATATTTAGGACCCATTATCTGTTGTTTAATCTATTGTGAAATCAAAGTTAATTTCTGAAGTAAGGCCCTTAAAAGCACTTGGCTGAGCATTGCCATTGACACAGTTTCATTGTTGAAGCGTGCCTGGTAACCTCAAAATGAGCTTATAACACTCACCAGTGATGAGGTCCAGCAGCAGCTCTGCTTTAACTTGCACGGATGAAGCAGTTGGATCAAAGCAATAAACCTCCTGAATCAAATTGTCATCAAGTTTCTGCAATGCAGAGAACAAAAACATGAAGGTGTTTGTGAAAAGCTTACAGAATGAAAAATAGATGAGAAACATATAGGAAATCTATAGGTAATTAATTATTTCACTGCTATTTCCCCCTTGGCAAATTCCACTGCATCTTCTTGGAGGAGGAAGAATAGAAAACAAACTTTCAACAATTTGAATTCTCACCAGTTTACACTGATTCCAGCTCTCAGTTTCCTCTGAGCCCTTCCAGTCGGGATGCAAAAGCAGCAGCACAGCCTTAACTACATCGTGTACCAGAGCTGGGGGTTCTGCACAGCTCTTTATTCCAGCAAAGCTCTCAGCATTGAGTTTCTGGAAACACTCACGCAGCTCCTGCAGCATGAACCGGTGGAACAGAATCCCTGCGTGCTTCACATTTGCCACACGTTCTGCCTCTGCAATCAAAAACAAACCTCTCAAGAAGCTGCTCAGAAACATCTGCTACTCAGGACTTAGATTACTAACAGTCTATGTGATAGATCCCTAAGGGCAACAAGGTGTCTGCTTCACACTTTTGATTTTGGCACGAAGTACCTTGTGAGCCAGAATTTAAATCTGCCCATTCGGTTTATCTCTACTCTGCTAGGCTCTGAGACTTGCTAGGGGGTAGTTTATATATACCAAGGATTTTTATTTGTCTTTCCATACTTGTAGGAATGATACTTTTAATATAGTTTTACTGAGAGTCCTAATTTCACCACAAAAAACTATCTCACATATGTATGCACAATACCCAGCACTTGTGTTGGTTGTGTTTCCTCTAGAGACCTCTGCAGGATCTCCGAGCAGGCAGCTTGGGCCATCTTCAGCATTTTCTGCAGGTCTTTCTGTTCCTGGCGTGGTAATTTCTTGTGCTGTCCAATGCTGATATCAAATATGCCAAGAGTTTTCCTTGATAGGTCATGAAGAGGTACTGCAATATGGTGTTCTCCATAGACAGAAGTGAGAGTGACCTCTGAACTGTCTGTACACTTGAACAGGTAATCTCTGAAATGAAATGTGCTAGGATTTACCATCCTGGTTTGTTTTGGTGATTTACTTAGTGTATTTAAGATTACATTCATCTCTTGTTGTTAAAATAAAGGTATTACATTATTGAATTATAGTTTGTTTCCTTGAACTGAAATTTGCACAGAGTAAAGTATCATTCAAGGCATGTACACAAAGGAAATAAATAGCATTGCGAACACAATATTGCTCGGCCAAGGTAATTGCTGAAAATAATGAGAATTTAACAATTCTTGATTTAAAAGCAGTTTGCTGTTTCTAACTGCATTGATGTTTGTTCTGGACAGTTTTATGAAAAGTAAAACAGCAAATGGCTGTTCAAACTTTGACAGCAAGGATGATATGCTTAAAAGACAAGTCTGTGGGGATCTTGGCAGTGGAAGGAAACAGAGAATTGAAGGAAATGGGACTAATATGTCTAGGAAAAAATACAGATTATTCTAAAAAGCAAAATGGTTCAGTGTAAGCTATAATCCTGCAAACCTTGACAGCTGGTAAGCATTAAGTCAGAAGTTTTTGCAGCCTAAAGTCAAAGAGAAAATACTCCTCAGCCGTTCACAGTTCAGTGCCATGTGCACACACACCAGAAACCTTGATAGTGAGAGAGATATACCCAGACACTCTCAGGGCTGCAGTACCAGGGGCTTCATGTGATGTGGCTCAACCTGATGCAGGTTGAGTCAAGGAGCAGAGGGGACCAGTCCCATTGCAGGTGCTGGAGCCTACCTGAGGACGTCTTCGTTTCTGAGGAGAACAACAGGAGAGCTGTGGATTTCCTTTTGTCCTGTGTTATCTGTAGTGATCACCCTGCACAGAGCATAGTTCTGCCAGAGAGAAAAGAAAGGTTTAGCTGCATCCAAGAAAGGAACAGATATTTTGAAGTGTGGAGAGAGAGGAAATGATTTCTTATAGAAAACTCTCAGGTACATTCAGTAGCAATGAGATTGTTTAAAGACATCTTCCAACACAGCTTAGTTTTATTCCCAGAGATGGGTGAAGAATTTGCCCTGGACCTCCCTCAGCCTGACTATTTAATCCACCCCAGGCTCCACACTGAGAAACACCCACAAGCCTAGAGGTTTCCATTCTTTTTCTCATCCTCTTGCAGTCCTTTCTCATGTCATGTTTGTGTCAGTGTGCCTTGACACGTGAAAAGAACAGAGGGGAGCGAGTGACCTGGCTATCAGGCAGCTAACAAGGGAACAGTGCTGAGCCTGGAATGACAACAGAACACTGCCAACATAAACCATGGTTATGAGAGGAAGCAGCTGAATTATGACTGCAGCAGATGTCATGCAGACTTTGGGATGACATGGGATCAGTCCTAAATATTGCATATACTTTTTGTCTTCTTAACTCACTGGTACATGAAGTGACAAGCTTCCCAGGGCCCAAGTGCCTGCTGAACAACTGGAATAAGTCCTGCATGGAGCAGGGCTGCCTTTGCAAGCTGACTAATTGGGAACCAGTCACTTCCTGAGCTGAATTTACATCTTGGCTGCTGACATAAGTTCAGAACAAAAAGCTAATACATTTCTGGAACGTTCTCTTTTCCCTATAAAATACCATGATTTTGACAGGCAGAGGATCTCCAAAGAGACGTATTTCCCTTAGTGGAAGTCCCAGACAGCAAAGCTGGATGGATGGATGGATGGATGGGTGTGGGATTCTGCTCTATTGGTTGCTATGCAGCAGTGGGCACTGAAGTAGAATACTCCCTTTTCATATGGAGAAAGGGTTATACTAGCAGTGCTCTTTAATTCTTTTACATGGGAGGATGAAAAGAATGAAGAGGGAGCTCCTTTACAGAGGGAATCTTCCTTCTCTACCTTTGTAGCCCTTGTGTTGCATGAGCAGGCACAAGAATCTTGTGTGAGCTTCAGCTTTAATGATAAAACCACTGGAAAAACACAGACAGCTGGAGATGGCACTTCCTCTCTAAAGCAGCCTTTCAGTCCCTGAAAATTACAGACCTTTTCTCTGCAATACCTTGTCTTTGCCAGGTGTCACCAGATAGGTTGTGACAGCGTGGATGCTGGGTGTCCTGGGATACAACCAGTCCAGAGCAGTGACAGCCACTTGAAGGACATTTTCCCACATGCAGATATGGTGGTAGGCTTTGCTGAATGCATGGCAAACTCCCTGTGAAAGCAGAATCCTCCAAGTGAGCCAGACAATTCCACACAATTTGGGAGGAAAAAGCTCCCATGTTGTAACAAATGTTCATGTTGTAACAAATTGGTTTAATCAGAATTTGTAAAGTGGAAAAGTGACTCTGAAATGTCCCTTATCAAATAATGCCCTGAAGTACTCAGTACCTGGTCACAGCCAAGTCCTTAACGAGACAAAGATGATTTTTAGTGGAAATAGCCAAACAGATAGGTAAGGTTGGCTTGCTGTACTCCATGTTGCCCAGGTGATGCATCCACAGTGAAGCTGATCCCAAAGAACATCCCAAAGAAATCTGGGTGGCTGTCACTTAAAATTATTCCACCACGTAAAAAGTAAAGTTTCATGTCATATTATAGAAATGAACACAAACATGAGATTGAGAGTTTCAAGAAATAAAAGCTGCTATCTTTGGACTTTGCACAAAAGGTCAATTAACGTCCTAGTCAGGAGAAGATTAAATAAATTATTGATGAAGTGATACCTCTTAATAAATTTCAGATAAGATGCTAGTCAGCAGGATACTGATAAGGTGCTGTTCTTACGCCACTTTCACCATATACTGCAGAAGGGGACCCACCAATATTTTTTTAGTTGTACATCTTACATTTACTCAGAACAAACATGTAAAATTCACAAGTCTTTTGCAGGTTGGAGTAACAAACTGCTTCCTGATGGTGCCTACCTCATAGAAAGTGATCTCATGGCTCAGGAAGATGGACTTCTGACTCTGGTCCTGAAGAGTGTCAAGTCCTAGAATGCCAAAAACTCTCCAATGAGCATCATACAGGGGCAGCACCAGGAGTGAACCTCTCCTCTCCTCCTTTCGGTCAGGGTTCCAGAAATGAATGTTTCCGTGGTGCTGAACTCTTGGAACATAGATTGGCTTTCCCTGATCAACGGCTGCAAAGCTAAAATATAAATTTATGAGGAAGTTTGTCAGGAGGAACAGAAAACCTTTAGTGAAACAGTAAATACTGCAGTTTTGATCTCTCCCTGTTTTTTGGCATCAGAGAAGGAAAGTGTGAGCTCCATACCCTGACCACACTCAGCAATACCACATTTACCACTTGCATCCCAAAGGCAGTGCTAATAAAGAGGCACTTTTCATCCTTAGGACATTGTAAAAACATCAGCTAATGAATGGAATGAAAAGGAATACAGAAGCAAGTGGCAGTTACATTTAATAGGTTAGAGGCAGCAATGTTTAAAGAGACAAATATGTCTGGCTTTTGGAAATGACAAGCAAAGAAGCATGAAAGCTGTTTATAGTGTAAACACTAGGGGAGGAAAGGCATTGTTCTCAAAAATATCCTGTGGATATAAACTGGCATAACAGAATTAATTTTTAAAGAAGAAAATGTAGGCCCAATGCCTCAGACATTTGCTAAAGGATGAGATTTATTAGACTGTGAGCTAATCTCCCCAAGGAAAGGAGTGAAATCCCAAACAGAACAGTTCTAAGCAGACCATGCAGCGTATAAGGACATGTATAGGATATTGGATCATTCCACAACAGTCTCTTGGGTGATTTCCTCTCTGGAGTACTCCATCAACCTCAGTTTCCCATGCATCCCAAACACTGCCCCATACATTCCAAACAGTCTAGAGAAAATGAAACAGGTATTTGTAGCTTTTCTTACCTGACCCCTTTCATGTCTCTGTGCAGTACTTGGTTTAGGACATAGGGAGCATCATCTGCGGTACAGGCCACGTAACGCAGGACAGCCTGGCCCTGCTCTGGGGAGAGCCTGTTCTCTTCCAAAAGGGCAATATATGCACTGATCCTCTTGTTATCCCCATGGGCTTCCATGTCCTAGCAACAAAATGTTCCCCATTACAGTCTGTACATTAGCCACTGGCACTTATTTAGTGGACTTAGCACTTGCTTAATTTTTGCTGAGATGCTGCTCTGGGTCACTGAGTTTGTGTGTTATCAACCCCATGACGTGGCTGTGTCTCTGCTGTGGCCGTGTCTGCCCAGTGCACTCTGTGACAAGCACAAACACTTGGTATTTTGATTGGAAAGGGAAACTGATTTCCTCTTTCCTGGTGCTAATGGGGAGGAGTAAATAGAAGAAGAATCCCTAATTATAATCTGTGCCTAAGAAAAAGCCATATGGATTTCTTTTCCAATAGGAGATTCCTTTAAGAAAAAAACAAGTGCCAGAGTTGCCACATTTACAAACCTAGGCAATACTGCAAGAACACTTCAGCTACACTGAGAGAAGTTTGACTTTGAGGAGGGCTTTAATGGTCAGGAAAACCAGCTAAAGTTGCAGCTGTAAATTAAAAATGAAAATATTTTCACTACAAATTAAGCATCTTTGTCCCAAACTGACTCTGGTGTGTTTCATTTCAGAAGCTCCAAAACTATGAATATGGATTTCTGACCTGAGTCAGCTCTTCCATAAGTGAGACAAAATTATCCATGAGATTCTTTCAGTACTGGCAGAGCAACGATACCTACCTGGGTCAGAGTCTTAATCACTGCTTTGTACACTGGTTCCATGCTTGTTCCGCCCATCTCAGCTGCTTGCTGGATATCCTGCAGCCATTTCCTCCTGGCTGAGCTTTGCGAGCTCTTGGTGTGACTTTGTTCCACAGTTGTGGTCAGGAATCTCACTAAGTTATCAATAGATTCATCCTCATTGCCAGTGAACTTGGAAGCAATTAACTCAAGGAAAGTCTGGAATGCCTTTGGGGATAGCTTCCCCACTCTACTGAGCTGTGGGTATTGGGAGCAAAGCTGTTCCTTTGCTAGTAGAAAAAATAGAAAATAAGACAGGGAAAAATCTAGTTGATTAATCAGTTTTTCAAAATACAAATCAAGACCCAAACAGGGTTTGGGTTGGAGTCCATTCAGCCCATCCTTCTAGGTTTCTTTCAGCTATCTTTCCTACGTGGAAGTGGTCACACTGGCAGGTAGTCTCCAGTTTCCAGACTGGACGCATCCTTTTCTCTAGATGCCTGCTTCCCTCCTATGAGCAAGAATCCCGCACAGCCCTGGTGTCTCCCCTGGTGCTGCTGAACTCTGCAGCCGGTCTGTCAGAGCTGTCCCAGCGCGGCGCCGGCTGTGCCCAGCCCCGGCTCTGGGCTCACGGGGGTGCTCTTGCCCAGCCTGAGGAACGTGAAGGCGCTGCCTGGCTCCCGCAGCCTCTGGTTCACGGCGCCTGTGTGACTGATGCTTCCATTATTTTTTCTGCATCCCGTTCTCAAATCCTGCTGGACCCGAAGATGTCCCTGCTCATGGCAGGGTGTTGGACTAGATGATCTTTACAGGTGCCTTCCTATCCAAACCATCTTATCATCATGATCACAGATTTTAGCTGAAGAATTAGCAAGTACTAATTTGGCCCCAGTCGTGGTGGGGCCATGATGCTTAATGCTGTCTTATCCAGCCCATCATAGAAGGAAGTTCAGTATTCTAATTTAATTCTGTTTTTCTGATAGAACTGGGATGGAGAAGCTTTTGATAATATAAAATGTTTGGACTTTTACCTCTACTTTCTCCTCACTTTGAAGAAAGGGATGCAGAAAAAATACACATGAAGTTGAATGTGGTATGATCACTTCCTTCACTACTGAGCCACAGCATAATGAATTATTTTCCCCTTTATATCTAATGTTACACTTTTTACTTGCAAGGACAATCAAATAATTCTACTCACTTTTTACTCTGTGTTTCCATTTAGGAGAAGTGCAATGTCTGTGAACCCTTCCCCCAAACCTGCTTGTTCCACATCCTTGAGAGATTAGGTTGAGGCTGCTAGAAATAGTTCATGTTTCTGGTAGGTGGTATTGATTTTGCTATGCTCCGTTTCTGTTTATTTGTCCTTTAGTTTATGAGCCCTTCATGGAAGGGACTGTGTCCTTCCATATTTCCATGGTATGTTCTAGCATGCTTTGAATACAAGAGAGCAGTGAACTGCCAGTTTCTCCTGGCTGGACAGCCTGGAGATGATTAACTGTGACATGCTGGTGTGCTCCCCACCTCACCAGCTGCCTCCAGTAAGCTAAAGGATAAAGAGATTTTGGTGGTTTCCACAGTGAGCCATTTTTAGTGATTTGCAGCAGAACAAGCAGCATGAAGACAAGCATGGAGATGAAAAAAACAGTCCTTTCCACCCAAGCACATATGCAGACATGTTCTTAATTGCTAATACAGTGTTTCAGAGCACTTTATGCCCACATGTTAATATGTATGAGGCTGTCAGACAGGTTCAGGTGAACCTGCAGCACTTCTGCTGGACCCAAGTCTTTCCTATCAGGACCAAATTTGCTAAGTTTATGCAGTGAAATAACCAACAGAGAAGTGATACTCGAAGCTGCTCTGTAATTCATGAGAGCTGTGCGACAGTGTGGATAACTTCAGGCTGTTTGAGATCCATAAGAAAAGCTGTTCTCTCCTGTGAGGTACATTCCTGCTGGAAGCGGAGTAAAATGTATCTATTAAAAATAGCTGGATAACACAGATGGACTGGACTAAAAGTGCAAACATGTCTTCAGGTTTTATGTGTGTTTTTTCACTGCCATATCACATGTATACATTGCATGTTACTGCTGAAATAATTTTTCAACTCATCCCAGTGTCATTAAAACATTGGGCTACTTCCCTGCCTGGGAATTTTGCACAGGAGAAAGGAATGGAGCAATGCATTAACAAATAGGCCTGGGTAACTGGGTTCCTTTCCATTTTACACCTCATACTGCTTATGACTGCTTGCAAAACCAAACAGGTGCTTGCAACAACTTCATAGACCCTGTCACTGTGAATGGTTGAAGGCCTCCTAGTTCTCACAGAGCAGAGATTATTCCTTACCTTTCATCAAGGCCTCTTTTCCCACGTCTCCCTTGAATGTGCTCAGAACAGCAACCACCTCTTCCAGGTCCAGAGACCCACATGCATTGCTGTCCCACTTTTCAAAAAGTGCCTCCAAAAGCTGTTTCCTTTGGGCCATGTGGGACATGTGGTGAGCCTGCAACAGAGGAACAGTTGGTGTTTGGTAACTCCTGGACATCAGTGCTGGACACTACACAGATGAGGATACTACACAAGTGTGGACACACTCTGCATGGTTGAGCCAATCACATCATTCCTATGGTCCAGGCCAAATCTGTACATACATGGCTCAGGCCTAGAGATGAATCACTAAGCTTGGGAGATAACTTAGAAACACTAAACCCAGGTGACAGTTCAATTTACCAGGCAGGACCAGCACTGCAGAGAGTTATTTCACAGTGGACAAATGAAGAAGGTGCAGGATTTAAGATGAGGTAGCTCAGGTAAGTGCAAGTTTCCCAGAACACAAATGTCTCCCCAGCAAGAGCTAACCACAGCCTTGTCTGTGACACCCTGGGATGTGACAGTTCATTTTTCTGTACAGTTATTTTGCTGGTGCTGCCCTGAAGTGTGTGGGCTCCAAGCAAATACATGTTACCATTTGTCCACTAAACCCAGCACAGAGGGATAACTGGCTGGAGCAGAACTCTCTCAAAGGCCAAACTACTGGCAGTGTGTGCTGTGTTCAGTGAAGACTATGGAGCCGTCAGATCCAATATCTCATTCAAATTAGGTCAGCAGCACAGAGGGAAACCAGAAAAGAAAACACAGCTAGAGAAATGCACCACATTTCTCTATGATATAAGTGATATGAGGCACCCTGATGCTGGGCATGAGGAAGGGGAATATTTTTTTTGCAACACATGGCAAGAACACCTTGTAACTTAAATGCAAAGAAACTCATGCACATTCACATCCAGCCATGCACATAGCAAACCCAAACATCCACAACCTCCTATGTACATGCCAGTGCAGTAGGTCAGAGATCAGGTTCTTGGCTATTATAAAGGTGAATAAGCAGAATGGAATGTTTTGGGCTCTTTCACAATTAAATATCAACTGTTGTCTCACTGACTCCGGCTCTAGGACAGACAGACAACCCCTTACAGGATGAGTCTGTCATCACTTCCAGAGCTGAGGGCTAGGGAGGGAGCATCTGTATGAAAACAAAGGGGTAAAAGGTCTCATGAAGGAACAGAGGATGCGAGGCTGCAAGTGGAGAGCTCTGCCAGCATCAGATTAACAGTTGACTTTGTTAAGTGTCTGTGGGCATTTGCTTGGTTTTTGTTTGGACATGGAATCAGCAAAACTTATCAATATTTACTTTTTCTATTTGTTTCATTTTTTCCTCTTCTGTCTGTTTGTATTCTCCTTTGATAAATGCAGCAAGCCTCTTCACAGTAGGCAGAGGAATGTCTTCACCAACGAAATTGTCCATGAGCTGTACAAACTGTGGCAGGGTGAGGCAGCTTGCAGCAAAGGAACTCTTAGTACAAGAATCCTTAGAGTTCTGAATCTCTGCCACACTGGGACCTGAGTCTGAAAGACAGAAAGCACAATGTGTCACAAGAAGCCAAATGCTGCCCTAAAGCCAACCACGTGGCAGCTATCAACACAGCCCTCAATCCTGCACTTCCTATCCAGGGAAATTACGGCTGAATACAGACTGACTCCATGCTGAGTAAAGGCCTTAATCTGCTTATACTGTTCTAATAGTAGCTCTGCAGATCCAGTCTGGCATGGATGCCATCCTCCAGCCAGGTCAAACCCTGACTACTACAGGTGAGCTGGAATTGCTGTTACTCAGCAGGGGGTTGTCTGAGACAAAGACCTCATTGAGGGACTGCTGTCCCAGACAAAAAGGATGCACATCCAAGGACTGACTGAAGGACAGGGTAGTGCTGTGCACTGGAAGTTACCACAGAAAGCTGTAGGTACCAGGGGGCTGTACCATCAGCTTTACAACCCTTGACATAATGCATCTGTCACTGGATTGCTCAGACAATGTAGACTCAGTTCTTGTAGGGTTCTAAACCGTGAGACATAAGAGTGTTCACAAAGTGCTAGCAAGGAGGTTGGCCCTTCTAGGATGTTTAAGAAAATGCCTCTTTGAAACACAGTTGTCTGATCACAGCCTTCTTAGAACAAAGGCCTTTGTAGACAATGAAGTAGGATCATCCTTTGAAAACACAGTGAGAGATTAAAATAAAAGGCTCCTGCTAAATGATCTCATAGCACATCTCCCTATAGGCAGTCACAGTCTAAAAGTTATTTAAGTGATTTCTAGATTTAATGTGCTCAGGTTCCTGTCTTGCTATAGTAATATTACAGAGTGAAACAGAACATAAAGTTTCTCCTTATTATAAAAATGCTGCTTCACAAAGTCCCTGCTTGAATTAAAATGTCTGCTCAGCACCTTGAATACAGGTCACCAGCAAAGTGACTCACCTGCCATCCTATGAGAGAAATAAGCTCTGAAACCTTAGCAGAAAACAGCGTGCTGAGAAGATGGCAATGCTTATGGTCTTCTCTATTCAGAAATTACTCACATGGTTTTGAAATGGATTTAAAACATCCTGTAGTTAAACCAGTCCAAATATATACACTGAAAAATTATTCAGGTCTGTCAGAAAAAAAGAAAATACTTAACCCTGGTCATGCAAGAGGTCCTCATCCTGCAGTCTTGTCTCTGTGGTTGGCTGTTGGTCAGACTGGCTCTCATTGCTTGCAGGTGTTTCTTTCACAGCCTCTGCAGCTGGAGCATCCTGTTGGGAATCAGTGACGTCCGTGTCCATCATGGCTCTGTCTCCTGAGGCCGTGGTTGTAGCTTCAGGTGCTGTCTCTGTAACTCCACTGTCCTCTTGACTAACTTGCTCTTCTGATCCAGGTTCTCTGGCTGAGGAACAATCTCCTTCTGGTTTTGTTTCCATCTCAGGCTCTCTGCCCAGGACGGATTCCTCTGGTTTTCCAGATCCAGGTTCTCCATCTGTAGTGACAATGCTTCCAGCAGAGGCTGATCCTGAGAGAGCTTCATCCTGTCTGTCTACAGTTCCAGACTCAGCTTCCCTCTCAGTTTTGGTATCTTCATGGGATTTGGTGTCCTCACAGGATTTCTCACTGTGGATGGTATCTCCATCCAAATCAGTAGCTTCAAGGCCAGTGCTTTCCACTGCTGACACGGCATCCTCACCTTGCTTGCTCTCTTCAGCACCACTTGGCTCTGCTCCTTCATTTTCCTCCTTGGAAATTCCTCCAGCTTCAGCTTCGCTCGTGCCCATTTCTTCAACAACTCCCTCTGCAACACTGGTACTCATTCTGTCAGTCCCTTGCCTATTATCATCTACAGATTCATTTCCTAAAATCTCTCCCTCAGAAATTTCTGTTTGAGACAAGACCAAATTTTCACTGAGTTCCTCACAAACCTCCTGGTCACCAAGGCTTCCCCAGAAATCCATAAGATTAATATCTTGCAGCTCAATTATTGGCCCTAAAACAGAAAAAAATATGCGTAAGCTGATAGTTTGCACTGGTTTTATGTTCTCTAGTATTGCATTAGAAAATTTAAACAAAAAGGGTAATGCCAAGGAAATACAAACTACCAGAAAGTGTCTTCTGCAAAGACACATCTCAGGAACACAAAACTTCAGCATAGTATCTTTGCCTGCAGAGATCTGCACTTCTGGCTATGTATTAGACATGACTCTACTTTTCCTTTAAAATAAATATTTCATCATTCTCTACACTAAGAAGGAAAGAAGGAAAGATTCGCCTTGCATTTGATCTCAGCAATTAATTACTGTCCAATATATTTAAAATATTTTACTTTCATGCAGATGATTCCCTGCATTTTTTCTTTTTCCTTCTGGAGGTATTTTAGTGCAAACAAAAAATTAACTTCTAATATGCCCAGTACGAAAGAACAATTGTTTCAGAAAGAGCCTTTCTTTAAGTCTACTTCCCAAAAAGTACTTCAAAATTTTGTAGCAAGGAAAACTTATGGATGCCAAAGCATTTCGGAACATTGCATCACATTTTGCAAAACATGCTTGCAAATTCTGGTGTATAGGTCACAGCACTCATTTGGGTCCTTTTTTTTGGGCTCTGTTCATTTCTGGTATCACTTATAAAATGTATATGAACCATCAAGCCTTGTGTGGAATCCCAATGTTTTAACCACAACTGAAACATCCCATGTGCTTACATTCTCTGGGGTTCCAAAATTCCCCCTCATCAGTCACAGGGCTTCTGTCGTAGAAGTCTCTCAGTAGGGCCAGTATTTTTTGTCTATCCAAGGCACCAACCTAGACAAAAAAATAACAATTATTGGGTTTTTCCTGTGGTTCTTGTGACTTACATCAACATCTGTAGCACTACAAAGGCACCATTAGCCAAGAATTACCTGTGACTGGTAATTATCCATTACCAGAACATCACTACAAATTTCAAAGAAGTTAAATTATTTCACAGAGGCAAAAATTTCTCCTGGGCTGAGCTGTAACTCCCCACACATATTACTTTGCAGGCGCTTCCTCTTCTATGTCCTTGACAAATTACAGTGAGATAATTGTAACTGTTCTGCCAAAGGAGTTTTTCATGTGAAGATCAAAGCTTCAACATTTCATACTCTCAGGACAGATATTGATTGCCTGACAGTACCATGGAAGAATTTTCATGTATTATGGATTGTGCTGTGTTACCTTAGCGACTGCACATTGTAGTTTAGTTTTGTGCCCCACCATCTCCTTTGAAGTGTGATGTATTGGCCTGGAAACATAATTAGTCCAAAAATCTGAGCTATTATGACAACTTCCCTAATTTCCTTTAAAAATTCATAGACATTTGACCACAGAGGTGAGAGGTATCAGCAGTTCTAGTGCAGAGGAAGGTGCAGAGTTTATTAAATCCTTGTTGCTCAGCGTGAGTGTACACAGATGATAAACCCAGGAAAAGGTAATGCAATGGGTCATTTCCAATCAGGAAATTGTGGGGTTTAAAAAGTAAAGCAAACCTAAACGATTGCAAGTTTTCCATTTTATGATGTATTCCTGTTGTCATTATTTAAACACCACCTTTGTAATCTCCCTCCCATTAGTGAAATAAAGTAGTTAATTAGGAAACAGATTTACTTAAGTTCATCATTTGTAGTGAGTAGCTTTCCATCTGAATTATTGATTTCCTTTTCACATTTTTTTCTTAGTTTAAAACCTTCAAAACGTAAAATTCACCAGGCTTTTAATTCCTTGTGAACTTTGTCTGCCCTTAGAGTAAAGAAATAAAGGAAGAACTTTGCTGCTCTTTTCTGGAAATTAGCTCAAGATGACTGCATTGTTTATAACCTGAAACTGTAATTATTGGCACCAATAGTAAAAAACAGAGGATTTGGAAACAACCCAGAGATTCACATCTCACCTACTGGTGAAGTTAATGTTGGAACTAAGTGAACACATCACATTTGCTGGTACTGCAGCACCTTCCTCTACAGGGAAGGGGTTTTGCCAGTTCTGCAGAAAGGACCAGAACTGAAACATAAGAAGCCATCTGGTCCAATTTTAGTGCTTCAGACTCTGGAATTTAATTCCTGCTGGTAAAAAAAATGCTGGAAACCAGGGTTGAATTTCAGATACGGATGGGTTTGGAACAACATATGTCATCACAGAATTCTGTCTCTAAACTTACAAGATGTAGGTCCTGATTCCCAGTATCTTCTGACATTAACATACAGATACCTTGCACATCCCTGTGCAAACATTTCTTCTTGTTATTTGTCTTTCAGTTGAATATATCAGATCGTGCTCTGATCCTTTTAGGAGATGCACAAACACGCAACGTTTTTGAAGGTGCTCCCAGATCACTGTGGAATATTTGGATGCTCCATTCATTATTTCCATTACACACACTTAATTTCTCATTCAAAGTTCCTCAGCTGTTACTTGTCACAATCATCTGCTGGTTGCCCTGAACTTTGCAGTGCTAATGCATAATTTTACTTCATTGAAATAGGAATAGATGAATGAAGTATTATTAAAAAGAAAATAAGGGTGTTGCTTTGGGATTCGGTTCCTTTTTTGTCATATTAAAATAATGTAATTAGAGGATTTAGATAACTCAAATTCTTGAAGAGTTTTTTGTTATTTGGATCTAATAGTTTTATTTTTATATAAATATAAGTAAATATATAAAAATAGGTAAATATATAAAAATTGATAAAATAGCTGAAATTGTCAAATATTAATGGGGGTTTATTTACTTATTAAAACATTCCCACTTTACACAGACTTGCCATTTTAGCAGGGGTTCCTGTTATTTCAGGACACTTTTCCTTACAACTTACCCTGGGAAGAACATGTCACAGTATAGCCATCTATAGAAGAGAGGAGCACTACAGCAAGAAACCATTTCCAACTTCTCTCCCCAGCTCTGCTATTTTTCCTAGTTCTTAAATTTAGAAGAAAAGTGCCTTTTCTTTCCACTTGGTGTGTGACTAAGGAGGCTGATGACAGATTCCTGCCCGCCTCCCCTTCGTGCTGCACCTTGTGAGCAGGACAGGTACAGCCTCTCCTCTCCACAACAGAAAATCATCTGTGTTTGTACAGCTGCCTAAAACTCAGGGCAGCTTTAGTGCCCAGGGAGTTGAAACACGTTGACCTAATTTTTTTGTCACCTAGATATTGGCAGGTGATGATTCTCAGCTGTTTTCAGCAATGTTCTGTGACCTATGAGTAATTCCTTTGACAACACAGACTAAACCAGACTTGCCATTTAATCAGGGATAGGTCAGTGTTTAACCACTTGATTGTTTTTCTGGAAATGTGATGTGTGTATCCTGAACCCTACAATGAGCTTGTCAGTGAGCAAGAGGGAAGAACAGACACTAAGAAAAGGTCATGAGAAAGCAGACTTTGTTGTTGCTGTACCACAAGAAAGATAATCAGGACTGTCTCAAACTTCATTAGCTTGAAAACTAATCTCTGACTCAATTAAATTTAATTTAAAAATCCCATGTTTAAAACATCCCTGGAAATGAATGCATAGTTATAAAAGAAACTGATACAAGTGAGCACAGAGAAAATAAGCTAAAATTTCACAGAGCCATTGCCTTTTTGAGGTATTATAGCACTGATCCAACTGTGTTCTGGGATTGTCTTGGGAAGTTTCTGCTGCACTGGATAGTCCAGGCTGTCCTTGCTGAGCTGCCATCCTTCTGGATGCATGCATTTGAAATCATAATAATGATCATGTGGATACCTTCTAATTTGACTGTAATTTAAACACTGCTTTCTCAGCTCCCTGCTCCTAATTGCAGCTCATTGAGGCAGCCAGCCACACTCACCATGCAGACTGGAATAACTGCCTGCTACCAAACAAATGGAAATTAGGAACTGAAACAACTGCTTTGCTGTACTTTGCAGAATGAGCTCTACAGGTAATGGATCACGTTCAAGTGTAGAAGTCTTTGGGTTATTTTGCATTTTTATCTCCCCTGTGGGTACAGTAGAACTTTACAAAAGAAACTAGGCCAGGTTTAAAAGAGCTTCGTGGCCCACACGACACTTTAGTGAACTCAGTTTGCAGAGCAGGGAAGGAGCCTGGAAACCACAAGTCTGTGCTCTGATCAGGTTTTTTTTCACAGCACTGGCATCATTGCTGATAGCTGCTCACTTCTGTTGTGTTAGTATTTTTGGCTCTTTGCCTCTGAGATTCCAGTGAGATTAGCAGCATGGAGATGGTGATTACTGCCACAGAAATAATAGCAAGAAAGTCACTTTAAAACATGAAAGGAAAGAAGGGATCCTTTGGAAAACCATGGCAAAGACAGGACTTGGGTTTGTATATTCCTGTAGCCAGGAGGATCCATCACAGCCCTTCTTGACAGAGCCGTAAGAAAGTGAAATGTCTCCTAGCTGGGAAGCAGACACATTTCCTCTCTCACCCCTGAAACAGCAGCTTGCCTGCTATTCTCTAAAACACACTATTGGTGTAGAAACGAGCCCTGTAATTCCTTTCTCTTGGTGGTAATGGCATTATTAGCATGACATTGTAGAGCACAGTTCACTCTGGGTAGGCACTGCAAGCATAGCTGGAGGAGTGCTGGGTGGAATATAAAATTTATGTAGGGGAGAAAACTAAGGTTAGGGCAACTGCTTGCTCTGTAGTAGCCAGCAACTGCCAAACTGAGGGTACTCATAACAAGTACCACACTTTTTGGATAAAGGCCAAGATTTTAGCAATAGTTTATGCCATTGATTTTTTTAGTTCCTACTATTTACTAGTTTTCTAATGAGTCTAGCACTTTTTTTGTTTGCTTTTTAATGGAGATGCAGGTGTACTGAGAGGATGATAGAGTTTAAAGCTGCTGAAAATCAAATTATGGCTTTTGAGTTTCATTTCCAGCTCTGTAACTGACTTACTGTATTTTAATTTCCTGTCCATAAACTGTGGCTGAAGTTCAAAGTACTGTTCTCAGAGAGGCTGTAAAGGTGGATTATTTTGCATTTTAAATTTTAACTATGAGATTTATTGATAGAAGCCCTTCAGATCTATAAACTAATGCAACAAAATTAATGCAATCTATGTAATAATTGAAGTAATGTGCACATTTGTTAAAGTGAATCTACATCAGATTAGCTTTGCTGAAATGTGGCTGAATAGATAAATTAGCACTCAAATATTCTGAACATGCTGTGGAAGCAGGTAATTTTTTAGAATTAAAGGCCATGGTCAATTTCTTCTCCAGAATCACCAAACTTCAGTCCCAAGTCATCAGTTTAGGTAATTCCGTTTCTAATTAGCCATCAGTTAATAGGCTATTGGATGTTTCTGTATCTAAGAACTATGAATTTGACAACAACGCAGCAGCTGTACTCTAAAATACTGCTGAGTAAGCACAAAGAGAGGCTCTAGAGTTGAGAAAAAGAAAATGCAAGCAGTGACCCAGAGAAATACCAAACTGGGAGCACTCACACATTGAAATTAGACTGAGGGCTGCTTTGCCTACCTTTCGATAATCACAAATGTGGAAGAGGTCAGTAAAAATTTGCCTCCTTGTATCATGTTTTGTTGCTTCTTGGAAGTCCTCAAAACACTTGAGGAGATATTCCATGATTTCCTGGAACTTGTCACTTGAAACATATTCAATGTAGGAAAGGACAAGCTATGGAGAGAAAGCAGCATGGTTAGCTTTCTTCAAGCATTTTCACCTTTAGTTGAACTCCTAAAAATCTATTACGTGCAACCAAATATTTAGGAATTTGTAATTTAATCTGCCAACACAATACAGACTTGCTGTCTACTTCATTCTCCCCTTCATAAGGAACAATATTCTCCAAACAAGCCTGGGGCACTGCAAAAATGTATCCTGAACAGTTCCTTTCCTGGGCCAGAGGTCACTTACCAAGCTCAAGCAGAGATGCTGGATCAGATCTTTCCTATGAAATGTGGCTTAAGCTCGATTTTCTTGTGGAGGCTTTAAGTTCTCCATGGTTTTCTGCAGCATTTAGTATTCTTGACTTCACTCCCAAGGAGGCATTTTGAGCCATTACATTCTGCAGGAGTGACAGTCACTCAACTCTCAAATGCCACAAAAGGAGCATTGCCTGCAATTTCAGTGTTTAGAGGAGCAGTTGGATACGATAAAAAAATGGAAGATCCTTTTGAAAATGAGCCTGCTGTCACCCCAGTCCTCTGACACTGGGAATACTACTGACTTGAGATTGATTTTATGTTCCAGCCTTGGAGACACTTTAACACTTTGGATTTATAGCCATGTGGCTTTTATGAGCAAAAGCAATATGGTTCTAAAAATGTGGTGTGCATGATATAAATAATAATGGCCATCAGAACAAACCACAATCCCAGAGCCTGGGCTGAAGGTTTCTGGAGCCAGCCACACTAACAGGGAGCCCATACAGTTAAAAGGAGGAATTTCCAAAGCACAGAAGGTTTCCCATTATCCTACTTTGAGAGTATGGATACCTGACATAAGTGCTAAAATATCTTGGACCTGTTGAAATCCCACACAGGCAGCTGAAATATTAATATATGTTACTATTATTCATGTCTATATTGCATAATTTCCAAATATATGGGACAAGTGGAAAAGAGAGGAAGAGCAGAAAAAAAGCAATAGCCTGAGGGGTGGCTGGTAGGAAAGAAGAGCTCCTAATGCTATGTGGGTTTTTCCTTCATTTCAGCATGAAAACGGTATGTAGGTTGGAGAGAAGGTGGCACATCTAGGGCTATGGGTATCCACCAGCTTCTTGGGGTTATTAGAACCCAGAGCCCTGTGACAGAGGAACCTTAAAGGTGTGGCTGTTGGGATAAGGAGGTTGGACAAGCAGTTTGTTATTTTGGATGTCACCTTGATGCACTAATACTGCTGTCTAACACCTTCACAGGACACTGTTTACAAGCACCATGTGGGCAGGAGGCACCATCACAGGCTTAAGCCTTTCTTAGCTGATATGCAAATTACTGCACACATAATTAACATACCTTTATTTGTTATTAACTGAGAGATTTTGACACCTCTCCAAAGAAAGCTGGCATGCCTCCTTCTTGATGCCCAGAGGCCTTAATGTAGTTTGTGGACACATTAGCACCAAAAACATTGGATCTTTTCTTCTTGTTGTTCTACTGATCTCACTAGAAATGGAGGAAGCCATATGGAATCATGGAAAATAATCTAACCTTTAAAGCCTGGTTCTGACCCTGCAAAGGCAATATGAGCATTTCCCTTGGTGTCCATAGCTTTGTGCCAGACCGTTGGGGGCTCTGTATGTTAGAGCACAAAGCTTGTGAAATAAACTATTAAGGGCTGGTCTCTGGGATTTAAATGCTTTTCATATAAAAGACCCCACAAAGGATGTAAAAATACAGCATCCACTGTTCTGCATTTTTGAAAAAAAACACCCCAAACACAAAAAACAATGATGTGTGAGGTCTCTCTACTTACTTTCTAACAGCCTTTAAGTAACACAAAGCTGCACTGAATTCAAGGAAGAAAAAAAGTGCTATTTAATTTTAAGGTCCATTAAAAGCAATGCTTTCCACACAGAAAAGGGCCGTGACCAGCATGGAGGAAGATGATCTCTTTCTGGGTTTGGTGGATGATGGAAAGGGATGAACAAAGGTAAATTGTAGCTGAGAATTAGAAGAAGCCCTGTCCTGATAATAGAACAGTTCCCAAGGGAAGTGATGAAAGCCTCATCATTTGTTTCAATTAAAACTGGACTGGAAAAAGCATCAGAGAATATGTTCTGAGAGAACATTCCTGGCAAATCAGAAAGCCTGACAATCCATGTCTTTTGTGCTTCTGATCTCTGTTGTCATATTTTTAATTGAGTTAAAATAAAGAGTACACAAAGTATATTTTAAACAGTTTTCTAATGCTAATGGAGCATGAATTCATTCAGTGATTATATATATGTACCGTAGGGGTTATGGACTGATGCTTCATTGCAATAACAAAAGTAATTCTCTGGGCTCTCATTATCCGCAATAGTCTTCGTAATTAGATGCAATAATTCTGAGGTTAAATTCAAAAATATCTCATTTCATGCTTAAAAAAACCTTCAACAAGTTACCATAAAAATGCATCTCTGTGCAAAATACCAAACATGTGAGTCTTCTGAGAGGGAAAAAAAGCACAAAAAATCACACATGGTTGCTTGGAATTAGTCTCTGCACAGCTGCTTTATACTCTGGTTTTAATTATTATAACAGTATTATAACACTAGCACTGTTGCAATGAGGGTCTGCCATTATTCCTATTCTAAACACTTCTTTTCACAGGTTTAATTACCCAGCCATAAAATCTAGCTCTGTCACAGGAAGAAATTGCTGGTAAAGCTTTGGCCTGGACAGCTTTCAATAAATATAGTTTGAACCAGATTGGTTGTTTTCAGCTTGAGGAGCAGCAGAGTAATGGGGTGAAACTTCCAAGTACATTTATGATGTTGATGAGTTAAACCCATGCCTCTTATGCTTCCCAATGGCAGCTTTTGAGTTTAAAACTATTTGGTAATGCTTCAATAATATTTATAAGGCTTGTTGCAGTTTGTTTATGGTTCAGACCAGCGATAGTTCACTTCTCATACCAGGTCTTCATGATGTGGTTTATCCTGGTTAATGGAACTTAGTCAGAAATAACAATACTGTGAGGATGTTACTAATTACCCTAGGCTAAAGTTGGTAGTGGGACACCAAACCTCCTGTGAGCAGCCGAGCAAAGTCTGAATTCACAAGTGATTCAGGGCTTTGACATTCTAGAAAGGGACAGGGAGGGGTGTCCTAAAAACCACTACTCCAGGAGTAACTTCCCAAAGAGCAGCACAGGCTGCAGCTCTGAGGAAAGCGAAACAGCTAGCCAGAATGAAAGTGTTGTGAGAGCAAAGGATGGAGATGGAATGTGAAATGTCCAGATACAGCTAGTTACCTGGGATGCTGGAGAAGGGAAGCCCTTGACTTACTCCTCTGGGCTGTCCCCAGAGAAATGCTGACACTTTGTGATAAACCTCACATTCTGAACCAAATGCTCTTATTGAATTTCTCACCTTTGTGAACTCATTTAGCCTTACTGTTTTTTCCAACGTGTTTAAGATTTTCAGCATCCTGTCATGGGTTGCTGGTAAAAAAATGAAGGGATATTGGTTTAGAAAGCAACAATTGTGATTTTGCATATTGCATACATATTATCACACATTGTGCTGTTACATTAACTTTCTTCTCATGTTGGATGACATTTATTTGAGGTTATCCCACAGTAGCTGAAGCAATCTGACTGTACTGAGACCATCTAACCATCTAAATCCTTTTGCATTTCTCTTGCTCAGAATCTCCATTTAGCTATTCAGAACTGTGGAATCATACTTATTCTTGACATAAGTTGGTGCAAATTGTGATGATTTTAACAGTACTTACAACTAATTATTGAGGGAGGAAATTATTTTTGATTTAACAGATAAATCTGCCTTAGAACTCTGGAGACATGGATTCTGCTTTACAAGAGAGGAATCTGAAAATCATAGTAGTTTTCTCAAGAATATGGGAACATTTTTACTGATGATCATATTCAAAAGTACGTTTTGGTCACTTTCTGTGCTGCTATAATGGAACTGAGAAGATACAAACATCTATATAGGTTTCTGAATGAGATCTTTGAGAACAGACATACTATTTCTGTTGGCATTATTTTTCTGTTCTTCTAAATATATCAGGAGTAATGAGAAAATTCATCATAGAATGCATTTATCTCTTGTTGGTTAATATGTTCCTAAACTGTACATTATCTTTATTAAACTATAAAACAAAGTGTAGTGTTCTGTTAATGTACATTAAATGCCATTAAGTGAAATAAAGAAATGGAGCCTATTAGGGAAATAGTACTGAGAGCACTCCCAGCATCTAGAGAGCAAATATCTGGGCAGGAAATTCCTTCACAATCTCATGTTCCAAGGTCTGTTTGCAGTGGGGAACCACAGCTCCACAACAGGAGCACAGGGGATGTGTTTGGCAGTCACACAATGTCCTGCCAATAATAGATGATTACTCAGAGGAACAATTCTGTAATTCAGACAGTGCTGACGAGCTCCAGGCAGAGGTGACTCCAGCAGCCACAGAAACACTCTCTAGAATGCCCTTTTTATCATCCCAAATCAGCAAAGACACATTTGTTATCATTGATGATCATTATGGGCTCTTGATGTAAAGGGCTGGCAGCAGGCTTCTGTTGCCACTTCAGTGTTCCTGGTTCTATTCAATTATCATCATCTGGGGAGGTCAAGTGTAAGCTATATAAAGTGGACAGGAATTATGGAAATCTTTTGAGATGAGTGCTCTGGTACAGAGGCCCTGGGCTGTGTGTCACTGGATGCCTGGGACTGGCCAAGGGAATGGCTTGATGAGATGAGCTATTGGGTGGAGCATTAGGTAAACCTCAGCAATTCCCCTGAAACCATAACAGGTGACAACACTGTCAGACTTTAATTTTGTTGATCCCACCTTTGTTCCTTATCTCCCAGTATGCCAATATTTCCAAGACCTCCCATGAGACAAACACAAAAAGGAGGAGGTTGGTATAGTGATTCTTAAAAACAGCAATAAGCACATGGCAATGTCTGGCTAATAAGGGATGCAAGTGGAAAAGGTCTGCATCTGGTCTTTCTATCTCCCTGAAAGATTTTTTAAACATTTTTTCCATACTTTTCAAGAACATATGAATGAATTACATGGTGGTTCAGTATCTTTCCAATCCATCTGAAGATTTGTGGCTCATATGCTGGTGTAACTACTCTTAGAGATTCGTTCTCTATTATCAAATCCATTTGCTGTTTTCTCACAGTTCACATAATTCAGATCACAGCAGTAAAACTAAGGAAGACACACTGAAAACTTGCCTTTTCTCATATCTTCAGGAATAACATCAGTGACATCTGGAAAAAACCTCATGGCACTCTGAACCTAGGAATCAAGGTAATAGTCAAAGGCCTGTGTCATGCAGACAACAGCAGACAATTCTTAAAATACATCACCCAGAATAATCAGAAATATGGGCCAGCCATGGGTCTAACACACAGGTAAGATTTGTGGACAATGCCCTGTCCCCTGATCCTGTGGTGGCAGAGCCATCACCCATCCTTGTGCCCCTTGCTGCCATGCCGGGGCACATGGCACTAGCACAAATGTCCCTTTCATCCTGTCTGCAACAGTAGGATCTCCCCTAGTTACCAGTGCTGCTGGGATTCTGTCTCTGCCATCCACTATCCACTCCTTGAACAGATCTGTCAACACCTCCTTTCTCCTTGCTGTCTCCTCAGCTCTCTGTCTCTCCATCTCCTCCCTTTCCTCACGTCTGTTCTTTGCCTCAGCCTTCATCTGGGCCAGCCTGTAGGACATGGGAACATGGATTAGAAAGATACCATCATAGACATACTTAAGACTGATTAAGCCTACCCTAAAGAACAAAACAAAAGGAAGCAACTCTTTGCTGAAATTCCTGTCTATGTGGAAGACATTTAATGTCAGAAAATCATCTGTGCAGCTCCCCTAGTTTTGTGTCATTTCAACAGCAACACATTTTACTTTCACATTTATAATGACATTCATCATTTATTGTGTAGATGTCCTTCAATTTCCTTTCAATTCTAGCAGGGAGACAGGTGCATAATTTTGCTACAGTTGATTTACCAACAAAATTGCATCAGTCTTCATTGTCTCCAAACCCAAGTACCTTTTCACACAAGCACTTCACTGGCAAAGAGCAATATTCAATGAAATTTCTGAAGTAGCCTCACACAATAGAGCCCTCACTGCCTTAGGACAGGGATAATACCTCACCCTCTCCATCATTTTGAACACACAGAGCTTGCAGGTTTGGACTGCCAGTCAGCTCCCTTTCTTCATGCTTCTGTTTTCTTTGCTTCTCTAAACACCCAGCCATGTTTTTCCCAATCCTCCATTTCACACAACAAAACAAATGAATAAAATTGACCCCAAACTCATCTGCTTTGATTTTGACTTTGTTAATTTATGAAATGGGGAAAAAACCCTTTAGGAAGGTCAAAATGCTTAAACCCAAATGATCAGTTCAGATAGAGAGAAGAGCTCATGTTGGTGGAGGCTGCTGGAATCTCTCCACACTGAGGTAGCTGCTCATCTTTCTGGCCTTCACACACTCTGTAGCTACTAAGAGAAAGGGGAATCACTCCTCTTTTGTACCTGAGAACTCCAAAACCTATATTTTAGCTAATGATTCCTGCTCCCTTCTTCCCTCTGTGTTTCACATGCTCTGAAATGGGCTGATCCTGTCCCTGTTCTCTTCCATTCTTCTGGGGTCATCCTACCCATCAATATAATCCATCAATATTTTCTTTAATGAACAGAAAAACCTGTTTTACATGTCACAGCAATACACTTTGATCACAGTCAGTTTTATCACAAGGTCATTGTTCTTCATGGCCATTTATCACAGAGGTTTCTTAATGAATCATTTGGTTCCTTAATCGATGGTGGTCATTGCGCAAGTGCTGCTGAGGCAGCTCAGCCTCGGGCACTTTGATAGCAGGGGAAGGGTAGAATATTTTTCCATCTTCTGACTCCTTCCCAGAGCCAAAGAGGAGAGAAGGAATGCAGCAGATACCAACCTAAGTGGACAAACAGATTTTTCTCCAATGTATGCTGCAGCAGGAGAAAACCAGACCATTTGTAGAGGTAGCTCCTCTGGAAACTGGAAGCAGAGCCTGCTCAGAGCTGCCAAGGTGCTCTGGTGATTAATTTGGGCAGTGTCCAGCACAAGTTACATTCTGTGTTGCACTTGCACTGGGCTGCAGTTTTGCATTCATTTCTAGGGTCCTAAAACTGGGCAGATGCATCTTCTGCCTGGTGTCCCTCAGACAATAATGACAAAACAGGGATAACAGCACCAGGCACCCATTGCAAAGTGAGCTTATTTCAGATCAGACATTTCCAGAAAAGATGAGATGGCAGCAAGGTGACTTCTCCCTGCAGAACCAAACATGTTTCCTAAGAATAAAGTTGCCTGCCTCCCACACAGGGATGGGTGACTCAGCCTGAAGGACTCCCATTCCTGGACAAAAGGCTCTGTTTCAGGTATCAGTCCATGTGCATAAGGAATTTCTCCCATCTGTTCTCTTTCCTGCCTTGACTCCCAGTCAGGTAGCAGTTAAAGAGAAACTGGAGAAAGGCCAAGAGACCTCACTGAGGATAGGTAAGTGTTAGATGGGAACCTGTGATGAATCCTGCCTTGCCTGAAGGTAATGCCAAGGCTCCCAGGACCTCCATTTGAGCCAGAATTTCATTCCTCACCTTTCTGGTGATTAGATGAGAAGTGTTGAGCACAGACTGGCACTGCTCTTGTAACAATTCTGGCCTGTTTGAAATCCAGTGACTCACATGAGGAGTCTCACTGCTGTGTGGTGTTGTTAAAATCCTGCATTGCTGTGATTTAAGAATCCCATGCAAATCCCACAATACAGCCATCACAAATATGTAAATCCTGAGCTGATGTGAATGCAAATCTCATGATACTACTACCAGTGGATATGCAAAACCTGCTACAGCCATGATTACAGAGTCATGGCAATGGCAACCCTGGCAATGCTGTCTATGCAGATATTTATTTCTGTAAGTCTTGATAGCCACTTCCTTTGACTCAGGTCTGAGAGCTACAAATTGAGAACCTGTCTCCAAATGTAAAAATAGGCTTAACAGCCAAGGTCAAGATAACAGGTCATGGGTAGCCAACACCTTGCATTCAACAGGAAAATCTTTCTCCAGAAACCAGCTCTGATTCACAATGAAAACCAAGAGTATTTTAGGAGGGGAAAATAAGCCCATAAAAGAGAACCAAACAAAAGCCCAATCCAAAACCCCAGGAAATTTTATATATTTTAGTTCAATTACTTTTTCAACATAAAAGTGAGATATGGTCCTGTATCCAGGTGTCCTTCTGTGAAGCAACAGGAATGATAAAATTGTTCCTAAAGCAAAGTGGTGAGGCTGACATCCTAAGCATCCCCCCAGAACAGCCTGTGCTTGAGTGAAAACTCACTGAAAGATGTATTTCCCCAGCTCATTTGTTTCAGTGGACCAACATGTAAAAAATAGAAAATAAAACTGAAATTATTTTATCAGTGACTATGAAATTCACTTCTCACACTGTCTTGTTGTATTCACATCAGACATGCTTCCTACAAACTGCACCAGTATGTTTAATGGAAACGTGGAAACAGAAGCTCAGATAGAGAGACTTAACATATTCTTTTAAGCATTATAATACTGGCAACTTCAATTATCTTCATTTAGGATTTATGCATAAGACATGTCAACATTTTACTTCCCTAATTCCTGACACTGAAACCAATATTCAAGGTGTATGAACAATTTATGCAAATACAGAGTCATTCAAACAGAAGTCATTATTCTACAAACACAGATACAGAATAAAGTGATCTAGTAGTGAATAAGTCATTTTAACATTAATCACAGTCACCTCTGGATCATGTATGAACTGAAAAGTTCACATCTATATTTTCCTGAAGACAGCAATGAAAATAAAGCATTATTGTTCATCTAATGTTCTTACATTCTAACCTTAGCATTTTGTAGGGTGTCATGGAACCCCGTTCCAATATTCATTAAATATTACACTAAAGCAAACAGCCTAGAAATAAGCATCAGAACAAAATACAAAACAGTTTCTACTTTAAAAGGAAAAATAGAATATAAAAGGAAAGCTTAAATAAAAATCCCAGGAAAAGGAGTTTCTACAACGTGCCAGGACAATGTTGTTGTCTTGGTCAAGAGAAATCATCCTGAAGGAGGAAAAAAGGTTACGTTTTTATTAAGTTTGGAAGACTACAGAAGAAATTATCTGAAGAGTGTCCAGACCTTTGATACTAACACCTGTCCCAAATAGCTGCTGTCACTAAGCTAGACTGGTTTGGAAGAAGTTTGCATTGCTCATGTGTAATTAAGAGAGAGTTTAAGGAGGAACTATATCCTTGTGAAGGGCAGAATATTGCCTTAAACAGGAATAACTAGTGTTTCATTCTGTGTGCCATGTTCTGGCATTTGTCCTGCTTCTCAAGTTTTTATGAGACAAATACCATCCCTAGCACTGCGCTCCACGAGGTGTGTTTTGCTCAAGGTTCTGCCAGCCAGGCTGCAGGGACACCATTCCTTTCGTAAAACAGAGACCAAGACACCAGCTCTGGCCTTGTGACCAGCCACACTGTCAGTGCTCTCACCTCTGTGATGTTGTACCTTGCTTCAAAGATTTGAGCTCCTCCGAGACCACCTTCATTTCTCGCAGGTATGGGCCTGGTTTTGGAGGAACAATATACTGAGGGTTATGCCTCATCAGGTATTCTCCAAGATAATTAATGGGATTAAATCTGGTTGGTTCTTGGTCTGATACAAGCACGTGGTTTCTTTCCACTTCCATTAACAAATTTTCTACTCCTGGGATTAATGTAGGGAGGAGGCTGTCAAGCAAATAGATGCGAGTATTGAGTGTCGTCTCCTCCTCACTGTACCACTCTCTGGCCAGCCAGTCCCCGGGTTCTCTCCTCCTCACCTTTGCTTCTTCTGCCTTTTGTGCTTGAACCAACTTCACCTTTGTCTCCTGCAGACTCAGACACCTTTGTTGTACCTTTTCATGAAAACACTCTTTCCATGAAGTGTAGTTACTAGGACATGGCACTTCATCATGCCCCTGATTGCTTTCCATCTTTGTTGTAGTCCTATGCTTATGGCCAAGCTCAGGATCTTGTAGATCTGCAGATTGGGCTGATTCTTCTGGCTGAGCAGCTATACCTCCATCACTGTGACACAGAAAAAAAGCAGATGTTATATAATGCTAAAAGATGCAGCAGTGCCCTAACAGGTGACACAGGAATAGAGTCAATTGTTAGGTACTAACTAATATTTTTTCTATGTTCCTTTTTTATTCTGTTACTGCTGCTTTGTACTCTTAAATAAATACAGACCCTTTACTTCAAAGATCAGTAAATGATTTATAAAGATCAATTATGTATCACAACAGCCCTTGGAGACAGAGCAACTAAACTAGTGTGTTCCTTTCTTAGGGCAGAAGAAACTGAGACACAAAAGGGGAATGATTAATTCCTGGTCACTTAGAGACTCAAAAAACAACCAGTGAACAGTTCCCACCAGCAGAATCCTCTTACCCCCAGCACATTATTTCTGTCCAGGTCCATTCCCTGCCTCCAGGAAATCCAGTGGATATGAGACAAAGGAAGCAAGTAATGAAAAATTCCAGATACCCAGGGGCAAGATTCCTATACATGCCTCCTCTGCATCAGCTTTTCTGAGGCTGTGAAGAACAGTGAGGAAGCTTGTCCCACAAACAACTTTAACTGTGGCAACTCTTTTTTGCTCTGGACATTTTGTTAAGGTAACAAGAACACAGGTGCACGGGTCAGCAGAGCTTCCACAGAAAGGAGAAACCTATACCATGAATTCTGTAATTAAGTTGTTCACAACCACTTTATGTTGTAGATCACTCTGTAAAAGAAGAATTCCTTTACAATCTCAACCTTCAGTGCTCAAAATGTTCATTCTGTGAAATACCAGGAAAAAACTGAGCTGCTTGCAAGGCACAATTTGAAAAATGTTTCTATATGTCTCCATGCATTTACACACACAAAATAGAGCAGAAACCTGGCTACTACATGATTCAAAGCATGAAAAATCAGTAGCATGCTGTAAATCCCCGGATCAGCATTAAACACAACAGCAAGAGAAAGGTGATATTAAAAAATAATCTAACACCATTCCAAATCAGAGATGGAACTCCACTCTGAACTTGTTGCCACACTATCCTCTTCAAGTTTTTGTTTAAAAAAGTTCTTTCCACTGAGGTCTTTCAGTTTTCATAGCAGATCCGGATCCAGAGCTTTCGATATGTATTGCTCTTCCTGTTTAAGCATTTGTAGCTGTTCTGAAGCTGTTCAGCCTTCTAGGAAATGCATGAACGTGATCTACATCCCTCCTGGCACACAAATTTAATCATGAATATGTTGACCTTCTCGTTCATTAACACTGTTGGAGTACAAATACTGCCTGGATGGGTGGGATGCTTCACAGCATTAAATTTCTGTTTTCTCAATGGGCTTGTTGGCATCTTCCAGTAAATTTTTTCCAAAGGTCCATTCCTGCTGGGAATGGGACGGATTTCTGGCTCAAACTGTCTATCTCACCCACAAAGAGGGTTTTAGGCTGGTAGTTGGTTTTGCCACCAAAGGACATGAGCTGGAAAGGAGTCTGGATTTACAGTGGTAGAAAGGGAAACCTGTCCACCCTGTGGAATTGTTCCTTGCTTAGGTGAGTTCCTTTCAATAAGCTGTAAAACCAGACTCCTTGGTTCAGAGCAGGGTGTTAACCAAATGTTCTGGTCACATTCCAAATCAGCTGGTTTTGTTGTGCCAAAATAAACTGTTCTTGTAGTTTCAAATACTTCTGTTATTTTTAAAACATCCTTTATGAAAACCTCTGCAGTTTCTGTGCAATGCTAAAGTGACAACTTCACTCTGCTTTATGATGTGGCTGATTCTGAAAGATGATGAATATCTTTTTTACACCGCTCTCAATCTTTTGTTAGGATGGTTTTGAGGATTAGTAAATGTTTTTAAAGGATCTCCATGTCTCTGACCAAAACAAAACATGAAACAAGCAGTGTGACTGTTCTTTCTCAATTCCACAGCATCCACATAACTCCAGGAATGGAAGCAGAGCATGGAGAACTGTGCCCAGTGCTTTAATGCAGTACAGATGAAGAAGACTAAGAGGGTATGGAAGAACAAAGAAAAAAATAAACAACACAGGAATGCTACAATCAGGACATGAAACTTGGGATTTGTGGAGGATTACAGAGACACACAACGGATAAGACTCCATTGGCTCATAACCTTCAGTGCTGATTTTCATTAGTTGAGAATTTGGTCCATAAGGAAGAATTTCTCCACTGAAAGGGTGGAGAGGCATTGGAAGGGGAGGAGCCACCATCCCTGGGAGTGCTCAAGAAACAACTGGACGTGACACTCAGTGCCATGGTCATATTAACAACGTGGTGTTCAGTCAAATGCTGGATTTGATGATCTTGGAGGTCTTTTCCAAACTTAATGATTCTATGAGTCTATGATTTTACAATAATATTGAGAGCTCTCAGGGCCCATGGCATTCCCAAACGGAGCCCAAATAACAGCAAGCATGGAGCACAGAAGCAAGCTCTAGAAACACCCAGGAAATTTGAAGTGTGATATAAAGTTTCCTGTAAGCCTTTGTTCAAGCTAAAGGCAAGATAAGCTTTCCATTATTTAGTAGGATGCCATTTCCCTGGCTCCTTTTCTGTGAGAAAAATATTCTTGCTGGAATCCCTGCAGGTACAAAAAGATTATCTCTGTGTTTTCTGTACAAAACCCAAATCTGCTCATAAACAATATTCTTATGGTTTCACTGTTACTCTGTTAGAGAATTTTGATGGGCAGGATAAAGCCAGGAAAGACTAAAGTTTGTTTAGGTAAATATTTTCAAGATGTGTGAGTTATAAAAGTATTTTCAAAAACAAAGCCAAATCTCTTTGACATTCTATTGCTCAGAAATAATTTTGCCTTTCCCTCATGTGTTTCAGAGAGCATATTTATCTCATCACAAAAAGCCCAATACCCTTTTAATACATGATCTTTTCAATACAATTAAAATTTTAAAATGTTTTCTCCTTTGCTTTTTGAAGCTTTGAAGAACTGTTTTTCTTACCTTTGGAGCAGGTATCAAAATAGATCTTATTCCTCCTGCTTTCAAAGTGGCTTTGCAAATCAACAGGGATTTAATATATGCCCATCTGTTCTCAACCATTAAAAATCTTGAAGTGAATTAGGGATTTCTCAGACCTGCTGTGGAGCTGGGCTGTGAGTTTTACTCCTCTGTGTGTTTGCAGTTGCTAAGCAATAATCCCAAAGGTTGCTATATCTTTCCACGATCAGAATTGCTGTAGGTTGTCTTTTGGCTTTGGCACAGCCCAACAGACTCTTCTGTACTGAACTTAGAACATTGCATCACATGACTGAAAATAAAATAAAATCAAAAAAGGACTATGAATAGCAACAGAGAACATTAAGAGAAAAAAGAGAGAGAATCCACAGGTGCCACTGACAGGTTGCCTTCAGATTCAAGGTTCACAAACTCCATAACTGTGTCAAGTCCATTACCAGCTGAAGGGAGGATGTGTAAACCAAATGTGAGGATCTTAGACATAAAAAGAAATTAATTACAAACTCAATTTAAACATTTCCAGGCTTTCTTTATTGTGTTGCTTTGAAGCAGTCTTGCAGGAAAGGCACACAAGCATTAACGAGAGGGGAATGCACAGTGCCATTTTCTCAGACTGCTTTTAAACCTGAATCTAAAGGAATTTGATGAATCTCCTTTCATAATCTCTCCTATATTCTTTAAAGAATAATATGACAGGAAAAGGAGAAGGCAAAAGACAAGCACATCTACGACAGGCATTCTGCACCCACTTACACGAATGTAAATCAGATGCCTGTTCAGCAATTCCCTTGGGTTAGGCACGACTTCCAACTGAGAAACTTACAGCAATTTCTGCCAGGAAATAAGGTTTATCCAATGATGTTTCTTTCTTTGTATTTTATACTGGAAGTGGCAAAACCTTTGGATTGCCTACCTGCAGGGAAACTGAACTGTTACTTTATCTATGGTATTTGTCATTGGAACAGCTGCAAGGTGCTCTGCCCTCTATTAGTCTCCATTTCATGGAATAGCCTGTAAGAAACCTTGAAATAGAGGAGGTCAACTTTCATGTGAAAAATACACTATAATAAATTATTATTTCTTTGCTATTTATTTGGAGAAACATATCAGAAGGAAATATACTCATTGCAGTGTATTTCCAAGATGTGTTGAAGTCTAGCATCAATTATGTTAACAAAATGAAGCAGAAAATTAGTGCACAGAAGTAATTTAAAATGAGGCTTTAAACTGGATTGTGCACTTTTTCCTCAAAGCAGTTTGCACATGATTAATTCCTGTTATCTCTTCTCCCAGGTGGGCTTGGTTTTTCCCCTTTGCAATTCAGAATTCTGTTGCTATTACAATTACCTTACAAAACTTTTTGAGAATGAAACATAAATTAAAAAAAAAAAAAAAGGTGATTTTTTTTTTCAACCCCCAAACAAGAATATACAACTAGAACTTAGAAGGATGGATCAAAACAGCTCTATTTTTATTTTTCTGGAAGTGGAATCCCGTGGGTTAAGCAAGCCTTTAATTGTACCCTATCTAACTTGGCTGTTATCCCTTAATGTTTTCGCTAAGAAAAGTATATCCTTTTATAATGCCACCAAATACTTGCACTGTTGACAAAACAATGGGCTGAATATGTCATCACAGATGTTTTGCTGGAATTGCCTCTTCTGTATTTTTTTTTTTCTTTTTCTGTGTAAGGTACATTTTGGGAGCACTCTTTGTTTGCTTTCGCAACTGATACCAAGATTATGCAATAAAAGCCCTAACATGTAGTAATAATAAGTTGTGTTAGCCAGGGAAATGTTTGCAGTGTGTTAAATAGTCAGTTTTGGAAAACTGTACAAAACCAGCTCATGTACAGCTCTTCTTTTAAATGCTACTCTGGGCTGAAGCAGCAGGTGCTGACCACAGTGCTTCCAGCACAGGAAGGAATAAGGCCAGACTTCCAGTCTGTTTTCTGTACCAACACTGATGCTGTGACCACAGCCTGCCCTCTAATTGCTCTTTTCAATCCCAATACATCTGCTTTATAGCTTCCTTCTCCATATTTAAATTCTGCTGCTAAAAAAACACTGCACATGCAAATTACACCTTTCTAGAGGCTGGAGGACTATCACAATTTGTGATTGTTGTAGCTAATAACTGATATGTTGGACTTCTAGTGAACTGTAGATAGCAACTCCATTGTTTACCTGTGGTAAATGTTTTGTAAAAGAGTTTGCTGTTCAAATACCTGGAAGATCTACAGAGTATATGAAAATTACACAGAAGTCTACTTTGGAACGTGGTTTAAATAATCATTTCTTGACAGTAATCCTTACATGACTCGATCAAAATCCAGGATGAAACATCAGTCTCAGGTGAGGGAACTGCTACACTACTCTGGGAATTTTAGTCTTCTGTCAATCCTCTCTGTCAATGCAGACGTACCTGAACATGAGCTATGGGCCTGAAAGCAGCCCTATACTTGCATGTTCAAGACCCTGGCTTGCTGTGCAGCCCACTCTGTGAACTGTTTAGTCTAGTTTAGGGAGCCTGTCCTCCATCCCTTCCTCCATTCTCACCTGTCCACCAGGAGGCAAAAGGTCCCATTTTTGCAAATCTGACTTCTCCATCATAGCCAAGTCCAGCTACAGGAGACTCCCGGATCATTATTTCAACTGAGGAATAACCTAAAGAGAAACTATGTGTCTTCTCCAGTTCTTAAATTTACAGGGGGAAAAGTGCTGTCAATCTGAGGAACAGATTGAAGCAGCATCAGCCATGTACTTAAATGGAATCTATGGGTTGATACACACTCCAGACAAAGAGTTTGTTCTGCTTAATGTTTAGAACAGTTTCTGGTTATCATATGTAATGTTGTCATTCAATACCCAAGACAATTCTTGATTCCAGTCACCTCTTTCCCATGAATTTTGTAGATTCTTGATCCAAATTACCTCCTTCCCATTAATTTGGTGGCACCAGGCTGAAATTGAAAAGCAAATAAGTTTAATAGCACTTGACCCTTTGTTTCAGACCCCCAAACACCAAACAGTTCTGCATCTGGGAATGTTTGAATGCTTAAGATGCAATCATTAGATCTTGTTTTTGGTGCTTGGACGTGTGCATTGCTGTACAAAGAGGTGCTATATGCTTCTCTCATTATGGAGTTACTATTGCTGCCTAACCCAAGGAAAAGCTGTTATGTGACTATTAATGGCAACTTTCACCATTTGGCAACTTTTTCACCAGTGGTTGCCATACCCACTATCCCAGTGGGATGGGATTCCACAAACCATCACCAGGCAGGAGGCACATGGAGGGTGCCCTGCTGACATACATTAATAAAAGCCGCCTATGAGGCTGAGGGACCCGGGGGAGACGCCGAAACCCCTTCAGTAACCGGGGAGAGAATGCTGGGGCACTCCAGGTACCTCAGGGCTGCCCATCGCAGCCCCCTCAGGGGCCGGGGTGGACATGCCGGGACCCTCCTGCCCATTGCAGCTTCCTTAGGGACCCGGGAGGAGATGCTTGGGCCCCGCTGCCCATCCCAGCCCTCTCACGGACAGGGGTGAGGATGTCGAGCCCCCCAGCCCATCCCAGCCCTCTCACGGACCGGGATGAGGATGTCGAAGCTCCCAGTCCATCCCAGCCCTCTCACGGACCGGGATGAGGATATCGAAGCTCCCAGCTCATCCCAGCCCTCTCACGGACCTGGGTGAGGATGTCGAGGCCCCCAGCCTATCGCGACCCCCTCAGGGACCAAGACCGGGGGATGCCGGGACCCCTCAGGAGCCGCCGGCGCCTCGGGGGTTAATGCGGCGCGGCCGCCAGAGGGCGGCGCCGCGCGCGCGCTGACAGCCGGCGCGTGCGCGCTGGCGCCTCATTGTGCCCGGCCGGCCCGGCCCCGCCGTGCCTCAGTCGGCGAGAGGCTGCGGGCGCGCGCGGAGCTGTCGCCGCTGCCGCCCCCTGCGGCCGCCGCCGCCGCTGCGCCACCTCCGCTCCGCTCCCCTCCCCTGTCCCCGCCATGGAGTGACGCCCCCGCCGAACGGCCGGACGGGGGGGGCCCGCCGCGCCTCGATGGCTCTGGTTACGGTGCAGCGCTCGCCTACCCCCAGCGCCACCTCCAGCCCCTGCGCCTCGGTGAGTCCCGGCGGGCACTGAGGGCAGCGCGGCGCTCGGCGGCCGTTGGGGTCCGGCGCGCGGTGCTGCGCATGCGCTGCACCCCCTCTGCTTCACCCCCCCACCCCGGTGCTGCCGGTGTTCGGGCCCCGGGCCGGGGGCGATGCGGGCCCACGGTGCCCAGGAACGAGGCTCACACGCCCCTGGGCTGTGGCCTGCTGACAGCCGAGGGGACGGGCGGGGGTCCCGGTGCCCCTCAGCAGGCCCGTGCTGGGGCAGGGCAGCTCCCTCCCGGCCCTCATGGGGCACGGTGCCGGTCATACCCAGCCCCTCTGTGAAGGATGGGGCGGCGCGGGGCTGTCTCCATAAAACCGCCCGGTTTATTCTGTGTTCATTGTATGCGGTGGGAGAGGCGGGAACCGTGTGTGGAAGCGACCTGACATGGTTGGGGCTCCGGTTGTGCTCAGCTGATCTCATGTGACAGCATCCTCTGGGTATCCCCAGTGCCCGGCACTGCTTTTGCGGGCAGCTAAGGTGGTTTTCTCCCCCTTTTTTTAGAGCGGTGCATGTAATCTTCTCAGGGCTGTGTCAAGCCCAGGAGAGACACAGACCGGCCAGATTCCAAATCCCTAAGTGAGATGTGCAGCAGGACGATGTTTTCATTGCTGCCCTGGGTTGCACAGGTGGCTCTGAAGGCTTATGCGTTTCCGTGCTCTTTAAACTTGGGACAGGCTGTTGTTTTGTTTGTTGTTTGTATTTCTCTATTATAAACCTCTGCATGTTAACCCCTTAAGCTGCTAACTACCCTCTGTGTGCCGTTTCTGATGTAGTCAAGGATGAGAATGAAAATAGCTTTGCTTTCACTTGTGTACACTTAGATCTAAGTTAGCATTTATCCTTAAAAAACCTCATGCATTATCACATTGCTGTTATGCTTGGCTTGCGAATGTTTGGAGGAAGAGGAGGAAGAGAATAGTTGAAATCCCAGTTGCTTTCATCCACAGTGGGGGGGAATGAAAAAGTCAACTACTTTGAAAATATTTCTTGTTGTGTTAGGTAAGCTCTTCTGAAAGTAGATAAGCTACTTGGCCTGCCTGCCCCAATGGCATTTTAGCTGTCAGAACACTTACCTCTTTTTTTCGCCCTCTTTCATTCCCATGTCTCTCCTGAGATATGTTTACTTAGCAACACAGATTAATTTTGCTTATACTTACCTACTATAAATATTAATGTGCAGCATTACTTCAGAGATTTCTTCACCCTTTCCACTATTCCTTTTCCCATACATTTATAGCATTGAATGCATCTAGTGAGAATAGATAGGTCTGTCTTGGCATCTTCCTTCTTTCTCCCATTTGGATTAATTTTCCTTCTTTCTCCCACTTGGATGCATAGACCCTCCCTTTGTTAAATATTTTATATATATATGAACAATTAGTTGTATCCTCTAAAGCTTTTCCATCTGCAACAGCCAGGCTGTTTCCCAACCAATTAAATTAAATTGAAACTGTGCTGATATTTGGATACTACTTAGTTGTTAAATATAAAAACAACTCCCCGTGGAGTCTGATGAATCCAGAGGATGTAGCCTTGGATTTATGTGTCTATATTCTCTTTCTCCCATGCCATGATGTGGAGGTGTATTCTGTACCAGAAATAAGTGTGTGGCATATTCCTGGCCTGGTTTTGGGCCTGATAATTACTTCTGCTTTCTCAGACTTCTCTTGTACTATAAAGTGAACTTGATTTTCATCATGATCTTAACTGCTATTGTTTGAACACTTCTGTATTTCCTGTTGCAGCTTCCTAACCACACTTCAGGATAGGACTGCCCTTTTAGCCTCTTAAATATCTGGGGTGGGTTGTTTCTCTCTCCTTCTGTTAGAGCTTGTGTGTGTTCCTCCTTTGCCGCAAGCTTCTTGTTTCTTAATCAAAACTTTAGTATCATTTCAGATCGTTCTCCTTGGTTTGTGAGCAGGGCAGACACATTTTTAGTCCTTTGGAAGGCTTTGGTCTAAGCCTGCCATGCTTGCCATTCTCATGAATCCCTGCCAACTGCAGCAGGAGGACTTTGATTCTTTCAGTTTTAAGTCAAATTGTTTCAATCAATTTGTTGTAAACTGATGGTAGCTTCCTTTGGCTGCCTCCAAGTTAACTCTTCAAATGAAAGCTCATTTTGCTCGATTTTATTAGTACTATAAGGCTCTGTCCTTGCTGTTTCTGAGCAAAGATTATCTGGCAACTGCTGGAACTTGTGGGCAAGGGAGGAGCATGTCAGTGTGCAAGCATATGGCTATGTCTAATTCTGTTTCCAGGTCACTAAGAATTTTGAGGACAGAAACGGATTCTCTTTTTAAATTGCTTGATGTCTTTTTGCTTCAGAGATAAACTTCTCAGACAAGGAGAAAGGGTGAAATTGGTGTCCTCAAACTGGATTTTTTGCATTAAGTGTGCCCCATAAACTGTTATAATTGGTTCTTAAGGATTCAGGGGAATAGCTGATCTGAATCACTCTGAAATTGGATGGCTTTTATTTATAGGTTTTTATCTTGTTCTCATTGCCACAGAGCATCTCATGAGCATTCATTTCAGGGTAGTTTATGCAAAGTGTTGATTATACATTTACAGCCCTCTGATTGCTTGACGACTTGTAAAATTCCTTTAATTGTCTGTCCAGACTTTGGCTGTTTCTTTTTGGCCTTTGGTTATGCAGTCACTCTTGAGAAATAAGACTGCAATCTTCAATCCTTACAGCACAACTGTTGTCTTCTGATGTGCTGTGGTAGCAGAAAGTGGTGACAGACAGGTCCGTGCTACAGTAAAATACAAAGATGCCTTGAGGTCCTTGGTGCTAAGGTTGATGTATTGTTGCTCAGTGCAGTTCTTGGCTGATAATTACATGTATTGGAAATAATCTATTGAAACTTGGCCTTTTAAAGTATTCTTGATGCACAGTTACCAAAAAATTGTATCTGTAATTTCTGGAAAGTGTTATTTTCCTTTTGTTTATTATATCTCTTTCCTGAGAAGTAAAGAAGCTGGGCAGGCAATCTGGCCCTGGCTGCTCACAGTTCACTTGTCTTCCCTACCCTGAGGGAGACAATATGCAACAATTGGAAGGGACCAACTGACCCAAAAAGAGAGGATACACTGTGTATATATTACTCTAAAATGCACAGTTTGGGGGGAAAAAAAAAAGCTAAAGTAAATGAAAACCTAAACGTTTGGACTTCTCAACCCCAAGAGAACAGCTTGAGCAGGAAGTAGAGTCCTGAAAATGTGTTTGGGAGTGTCTGTCATGTTGTGCTTGGAAGCTCCTTGCTGGTAGAATGTACAGGAAATATTTTCACTTCTTTATGGGGAAGCTAAATATAACATTTTTCTACCCCTGGTCCTGTAATTGCTGTTAAATAATGTGGTAATTGTGAGATCACTTAATCATTGATAAGTCCAGTCTATCTCACATAGAACTTATTTTTCTATTTTCCCTTTTTTAAAAAATAAAGATCTTGATTGCTGCTGCATGGATAAGGATATGGAGAGTTGATTTTTGGAGGGAACTACAATGTAGCTGGGCAATCAGAAGCTTCTTATGAAACACTTAGTAAAGTTAGGAATGCCTGATATTTAAAGATGCTCTGATCAGTAAAGATCATCTATTGTTTCTTGATTTTCTCCAGCTGATGTCTTTTAGGTATAGCCAGAGCTCATTCTGAAAACTGAAGTTTTCAGAGGTAGTGGCCCAGAAGAATGAGCTGATTTCTACTTTAGGCAAACCTTGCAGTGCCCTACAGGTACCTGTTTCCTCTGGTGCCAGTTGTCACCATTTGGGAGATAGAACTGTTTCAGTGAGGTGATCTGTAACTACCTGTCTTTCAAACTTCTTCTGGAAGCCCTGTGAGGGAACCAGGAGGCCTCCACCTCTTGCTGGGTGTGATGCTGTGCTGTTAAAAGATGATTTCTCTCTAGCTGGACAAGACCAGGCAGTTGGAGCACAGATAGTTTTTGTGTGTTTAAGTGCATTCACGGGTGATGATACTCTCCTGTTCCTAAGGCGGTTTGATATTTAAACTGTGACAGAAGACCTGTCCTTCTCTGGAGTATCTGCTGCCTGTTGTATGCACACTTACCAGGTTTCCTCTAGGATCTGCATGAAATAGTGTCCCTTTAGAGGTGAGAACAGTATTTGCAGCTGAGGAGGATGATGACAGTGGAATTGCAGCCTCATTTAGAACCATAGAGAAACATTATTAAAACTTGCAGAGTGCATGAGAAAATCTTTATCTCCTTTTAAGGGCTCTAGCTCCTTTTGTAGCATATCTCAACAATAAGTTGATTTCAGTTTTCACCTCTTGAGTTCCAGTGGCACATAAATTCTTTTGTTTTGAAAAGGAGCTTGTAATTTGAAAATGTAAATAGCTTGTAATGCTGTGATGAGTCATTATCTGACCAGTATTGATTCTTGCTGTTTAAGAAATGGAAATAAGTTGAAAAGGGCAGGGTACAGTAGCATCTACAGGCATTCTGGGAGCCAGTGACATGTTTATATAAGTGGAAAATGCTATTTTGAGTGGAGACTGTCATCCACAAAGCAGTCTGTGCTGGAAATATTCTAGCATAAGAGAGCTGCCTTTATGCAGGAGTAATGCCTGAGGATTTCCAGTTACTGAAAAAAAATCCTGAAAAATCTAAAGCTGTAACTCTTCTGTCTTGGGAATTGGAAAAAAAAAAATAAAAAGGAAAATAGCCTTTGGGCAGCTTAGCTCAGTGTAGCTGCTCCCTGATCACAGCCTGCAGCTCAAGGTTTCATTCTTCAGTCACAACAAACCACATCCTCCCATGAAGGCTTCAGCTTCCAGCTGAAGCAAGGGGGCTCTTTGCAGGCTTTGCAATCTTCTCATCCAACTCATGCTAATGCCATTAGCAAGAAGTACAAATGGAGCTGCTGGTTTGTGACCAGTGAACATATGAACTGGCCCTGCCACTCAAGAGCACTTAGGCTGCTCAGCTGCCTGTTCCAG